GAGGAACGCCAGTGCTTGGGCTTTGAGGGCCTTCCTGCTCTCTTATTGAACGTCGGACTCTGAGAGCTCTAAGGACCATTGCATCATTCGATCGGCCATGTCTGGTCGTCCTAGGAGCTATCTCACGGGTTGGTCAGTTCGTACGACGATCGTGTGGGCCAGAAAGTAGTGTATAAGTCTCCTCGCCGCGTTGATGGGGGCTAGGGCTACTTTTTCAACCTGTTGATATCTAACCTCAGGGCCTTGTAACGCTTTGCTCATAAAATATATTGGTTTATGTTCGTCTAGAGTCTCGCGAATGAGGGCTCGCTTACGGCCTCGCCGGAGACAGCCAGGTAAAGGAATAAAGTTTCCCCACTCTTTGGTCGTGACAGCACGGGCGATTGTGACAGACTTTGCTTGAGGTGGATGAGGGCTTGTTTGCGCATTCAAAAGCTGCTTCTTTGCGCAGGAGCTTGAAAAATGGTAGTGCGTGTTACGCGGACTTTGCCACGAAATAGGAGAGTGAGGTAAGCATACCGTTTAGGACTTGTATGCATTTTTTTGAGTCAAGCGTGGGAAGCTCGAAGAATGCTTAGCACTTGTTGTTGGCTTCAATTCCCCGTTCGGTCAAATAGACACTGAGGAATTTACCCACCTTAACCCGAAGGTGCATTTTTCCGGATTGAATCTCATTTTGCATAGTCTCGCTTGGCGAAGACTTTTTTGATGTGGGTAGCGTGGTCGGTTCTTGTTCGAGATTTGACGATCATGTCGTCCATGTATACCTCGAGCATGTCTCTGATCTCGTTGCAGAAGACTTTGTTCATCATCCGCTGGTATGTTGCCTCTGCGTTTTTAGGCCGAAGGACATTACATTGTAGAAGTAATTGCCCAAACCGGTCATGAAGGCGGGGCAATGTTTGTCGCTCACCGTCATTGGAATTTGGTTATAGCCTGAGTTGGCGTCCATAAATGATAAGATTTTATAATCGACCGAGTTGTCGACCAGCATATCAATGTTAGGTAAAGGAAAAGTATCTTTGAGATATGCCCAATTAAGATCAGTATAATCGACACACATTCTCCACTTTCCATTATTCTTTTTGACAAGTACAACGTTTGCGAGCCAGGTTGAATACCGGGTCTCATAAATGAAATTTGCCTCTAAGAGGTCTTTTATAGATTTTTCAGCAGCCTCCTCTTTTTCGAGAGACTGCCTACGTCTACGTTGCACTACTGCCCTAGCGGCTAGATCTACGGCGAGTCGATGATAGGCGACCTTAGGATCGAGTCCGGGCATCTCTGTAGCACTCCATACAAACAAGTCCGCATTTTCCCTTAAACATGCTTTGAGCTGCTTCCTCGCTAGGTCGGGGAGTCCGGTGCCAATCTTCACGCCTTTGTGAGGGTCTTCGCTGAGGGGGATGAACTTGAAGTTTTCGTCTGGGATGGGCTGGAGAGGATCCTGCTCGCCATTAGAGGTTTCGACTTCATCTTTGTCAAAACGGGTGTCGAGGGAGATGGAGTCGACCTTTGGTGGAGCCATTTGTTCTTCGGTGCGAGCAGGCTGCAATTCAGGTCGAGTAGTGGTTGCTCTTTTGGCGGGTCGCGCTCTAGTGTCGACCATGCTATGCCCTTTGAAGGCTGCGTGAAAACATCTCCTGGAAGTTGAGATGTCTCCGTGGATGGTGGCGACGCGCCCCCTCTTGGTGTAGAAATTCATTTTCAAATGGACGGTGGAAGGTACGGCGGTCAGCTCGACCAGTGTCGGTCTTCCCAAGATGCAGTTGTAGAGAGACGGGTAGTTAATCACTAGGAACTACACCTTGATCTGTTGGGAGGCAGTCTCTTCCCCGAAGGTGACAAAGTGCTCAACGTAACCCCACGGCTTGGAGGTCGAGTCGTACATAATGTCGACGAAACTTCCCTCGTCGACCAGAATACGATGCACGTCGAAGTTGGTCATCCTTGCCCTCACTAGCAGAGGGATGCTCGAGTTCGGGGCTTCGTCGGGCAGCTCTTCCAAATAGAAAGTGATAGGCTCAAATTTTCCTTTGAACCTCTCGAGCGTTACTGCTTGTGTTGGGGTTGCGTCCACCAACTTGTCAAGCTTCCTCTTTACTGAGTTCATTAAGATGTCGCTAAATCCCCCGCCAGATATGACCATGGCAGAAGGGAATTTCTCCCATCTGTTGTGCGTTGACAAGGGTTCATCCTCGTAGCAGTTGGGGACGCGGAAGTCTTTCGGCCTTGTCACAGAGAAAGCCACCTGGATGTGGCCCGATTCATCAGATGATCGGGTTTCTTCCTCGACTTATTTTACCTCACGGGTGTACCGGCGAGGGGCGTCGTTGTGTCTGTATTTCCCTAGTCTCCCATCGTTGATGAGAGTATCGATGGTGTCCTTAAGGTGGACGCAGTCTTCCGTCAAGTGTCCGTGGCTACGGTGGTACTGACAGTATCTTGTCATGTCTGCCTCGGGCTTTGCAGGAGCAGATCGAAGACGTTTGATGTCGCCGTCCTTGAACTCGATATTAGAGCACTCCGCAAGGATACGCTCGCGAGAAGCGGTCAACGGGGTGTACTATGTGAACCGCCCTGTTGGTCCCCTATGCTCACGGGGATTGTGAAGTTTCTCCTCCCTTCTCTTCTCCACAGTCCGTCAAGAAGGGCCCACGTCTTGATGTCATGGGATGTTGGCTGGTCCGCGATTCCTCGAACCGCAGACTTTATTGACTGCTTCTTTCTCCTCTAGTCCATGTATGCCCTGGCCTTTTCGAGGAGAGCGTCGAAAGACCGGGGGGGGCTCAACGCCGACAGCCTTTCTGAATTCAGTGCCCAGAAGAAGTCCTCTCTCGAGCAGGTACCTTTTCATGTGATCGGTGCACGGGACCTGAATGACTTTGCGATTGAACCGATCAATGTATTCCCTGAGGGTCTCGTCGCTCCTCTGGACAATTGCCTCAATGGCGGCCTCAATCTTCGGATGTCGACGAGACGCAGTGAAGGAGCTGATGAACTGGTTCTTGAGACTCCCAGGAGGTGATCGACCCGGGAGAGAGGTTCTTGTACCAGTCCATGGCTGTTTTTCTCAGGGTCGTGGGGAACAATCGATATTTAATTGGTCCCCCGACGTTGTGGTAATGGAGCATTGCTTCAAACCCGTCGATGTGGTCGACAGGGTCTGCAATGTCGTCGTACTCCTTTAGTTGGGGAGGCTTCTTCATTCCCCTATGAATGGAAGGCTTCATGATTGCTTGGGACAAGGGACCGCGGAGGTCATCTTCGTCACTTCTGTCTGGAGAGAGGGAGAGGGACCGGTTGTAATGGCGATCGTTGTGATGGCCTTGGCCGCGGGGAGGATCCCTTGGTCGAGGTTGTCCTTCTCTATTTCCCTTGTTTCCAAGGGATCGTCGCTCCCTACGCGGGGGGGGGGGGGGGGGGGGGGGGGGACCGCGTCTCCCCGTGGTTTCGCGTTAGGGCCTTCCCAATGCGGGGTCGCGCCTAGTTCGTCGGGGAGAATGGCTTTGCGAGCCATCCCGTCTGCGTCTCCGCGAGGGAGACTGGAGACAGACTTTGTTCTGACGGGGAGGAGGGTGTCGGGTCTCCTGTGTCTTCTAGGAGCCCATCGAGTCTGTTCGAACATCCTCAGCCGCTCACCCTATGAGAAGATCATGTAGTTTATCTGGTTGATGGCCGCAAACAGAGCTCTGGTCGTGGCGTCAGCGCCCGCATGGACGAGGACCTCCTGGAATGCATTTGGTTCATAATTCTGGGGAGGATGATAGTCGACTTCGTGCGGTCGGGAGCGAGATGATGAAGAGACGATCAGTCTGTCTCTGTAATTTTGCTCAGGGTCGGCCATGTCGATGTCATTGCCGGCGTTATTGTCGCCAACGTTGTTGTTGAGGTCAGTGAGATAGGCATTTTGGTTGTTGTGGACAGCTTGGTCGGCCATGACAATCACACAGTTTGATGGAGAGTTGCTTTAGTCTTGAGATGGAGACAGAGAAATTGTTTTTCACAGACGGCGCCACTGATTGTACTTGACCAGAAGGGATTGTCAAAGCCCATAAACTTCGAGTCGAACAGCAGTTAAATGTGAGGTAGGGGTACCTGCAAGACACTATGATGCCACAGTGAGGTTTCAGAGCTAATGCAAGCAAGTATAAGTATGAGTATGAGAGTGTGAATGAATACCTGACCCTCTCAAGTGAGAGGGTATTTATAACCCTCAGCATTGGACCAATGTCTTTAGTGATGGGCCACGATGAGGCCCAACAACGAAAACGGCCAAAGTTTACGTGTGTATGGAGTCCAGCACGTGGTCCCCTCCCTGGTCAACTGCCCGGAGAAAGCAGGAGCTGGATCCGTTATTCCCGGAGGGCAACATGACAATGATAAGGACACGTGAGCTACGTTCCCCTAGTGGACACGTGGGGAAATGTCCAACGGTCCTCAGTTTGGGCTGCATGCCTTTGGGCCTTTAGTAAACACGCTAAATTGGACCTCCCCAACGGTGGGACAAGTCTCGGCACAGTCCAGAACAACTAGTAAAGAATTTTCTGTCCGGTTGACATCCCTAGTAAAGGATTAGCTTATAAAATAAAATTGCAAGCTTATCACATTATTACTAGAAAGAAGCATTGTTCCATGCAACCTTTCCTTTTTTTTTATGATTTATTTTTTCAGAATCTTCATCTAACTATGTAAATAGGGAACTAGATATAATGCTGATAAACTTACTGGGGATCAAGCTTTCACATTAGATGCTTTATATAAATTGATACCTCTCTATTACTAAGTCCCAGTGTGAGAATGAAGATTCATAAAATAACATGGTGTAGGTTGCTATTATACTCGAGCTGTCCTTTTACGTAATATAAAGCTCGCCACTTTACATTATGACAGAAAAATATTCAAATTTCGACATGAATTTTTAATACCTTCCTATACTATCTCAGGACATAAAATAAATATGCACAGCTGAACCAATTAAATAAAGCTCAGCAGATTTCTCACATGTAGGTTAAGTCATCATCATATTCGCTTGTGTTTTCTCTTCTTGAAATCATGTTCAACAAGCTCTTTGTGGCTCGACCAACTGCTCTTGTAGTCTTTCTTGCGGCTCCAGCAACCGCAGGTCCCAGAGATATTTCGGGCAAATTCGCTCTCTCTTCGATCATGGCTGTTTCAAAACAAACAATAACCAGACCAACAATTCATTAAAATGTTCCTGGCATAAACAGGATAAAAATGACTTTTGCAATCACCGATCAACAATTTGAATTAGATGTATTATTTTATTGATACCAGTTGAGTTATAACGGAAATAATCTACATGGATTCCCCTAGTCCTAAAGCTACTAAGTGCTGCAGTTGAAAAGCAATCATAAAAATGAAGAATAAGATTAAAAGAAGAAAAGCACAAGAAAAATAACAAAGGAATCTCAGAAAACATATTTTACATACACATAGTTTGTTGTTGTGCCACAGAACCAATATGTTGAATTCCAGTTTTTGCTGCTTGCAAAGCTTGAGCTGACTTGTTGACTCCTTCTGTTATTTCCTGGCTAATTGTCAAAACAATAAATGATCTTAGATCCATTTATGCAATGCAGTTAAAGTTGTGACACTGAAAAATAATTGCTAATGAAAAAAGCATATGTTTGTATTAGCAGTTCCTTTTCAAGCTTTTTTTTGTTATATTAGTCTTCAAAACATTGTAGTGTAATTGTATTGGATACAAAGGTGCATAAAGGACAAAAAAAAACTCATCAACCAAAATTTTGTACGTGGAAGCAAGAAACTAGGAAGATTATATAAGCTTCGTCAAGGGTTAAAATCCTGCCAATTAAAATTCATATATCCATGTTTTAATGTTCCAAGGGCAACCTTGTACGAGAAAGGACCAACAATCTTGCATAGTATCCTCTTGGTTCATACTTTCCCAAACTCCTAATCTTACCAATTTAAACCCATGTATACATGTCTTGATGTTTCAAGACAACATTCAACCTTGTAAGAGAAAATTTCATAAAATTGTTCAAACCACTAGCATTGTAGCCTTATGGCTCATGCTTTATCACCAATTAAAAATCGTATATTGCTAGAATTAAGAAGTACATGTGGTCAACCGATTGTTAAAGCAAACTAAACAGTAATTTTATGCTTGAAGTATATTTTTTTCACCCTCAGCAACCAATACAAAGTACGAGACTAGAAGAGAGAACCTGTTTTAATACCCATCAGTGTTGTCTATGGCGAATGGCAGAAAATAGCAGCGAGCTAAAAATCCGCCGTAAAATATGGTGGATGGAAGAACGGCAAATGGCGGAAGCATGGCGGACAAACTAAAAACTTTACTATATCTATACACACACACAAAAAAAAAAAAACAGCAACAGCGCCAAAATACTATAAACAGAATACATAAAACTTAGAAAACATAATTATATATAGAGAAAACTAGAATTCATATCTCAAGTTCTTCGATATAAGGAGATAAAATAGACGGGGCACGTCTCGAGTACCGAGGAGGAACACAAGTAGAATAAAAAAGAAACAGCAGAATAGAACACAAAAGAGAGTAGTGGGAAGGAATAAAAAAGAAACAAAACAAATAAGAAAATAGAAGAAGAAACAAAACCTAAAGAAGAGTATCTGGACAAAAGTTGGGTGAGGACGAAAAGAGGACACATAGGGAGAAGAAGAAAATAATTGGTGGAGAATGGAAAAGGTTGCGGCGTATTTTGATTTTATAAATATGTAATCAGATTTATTTGTATTTAACGAGGGTTATTAGAATTTAATCAAAGTTTTAATTCTTTTTGGCTTGTTTCCTGGTCAGTAAAAAATACCCAGACAAGAATTTGCAGTTTATATAAAAAAAAAACGCAATTTCCGTCATACCGCCATGAACGTCAAACTCATGGCGGTAGCCATGACACCGCAATGCGAAATTTGCAACGCCGCAGCTTTCCCATGGTGCTATGTTGATTTTCCGCAACTGCAATCCGCCATGGTGCCTCATGACTGCAATTTGACAACACTGATACCCATGCAAGCATCATGTCTCTTCCATTTTTGTTTTTGTTCATACTCGGCAAGAATGAGTTGAGTATGGTTTCTTATAACAGTCTAGTGCAACCATTACCAATGTCCAATAGGGAATACAAAATAGAAAAGCTAACAATCACAAAATAACCATCAATTACAAATATGTAACATGAAATGAAATACAGCAACAGTGGATTCAGAGCAAAGGTATTGATTGTCACCTGAGTTCACTTAATTCTAGTGTCAGATCATTCATTTCCATCACCGAAAGCCTAATGGAAGTCATGGTGCTTGGGAGTTCCTCGCGGGCCGTATCGGCTAGCTTTGAAAGCGATATTGCAGCTTTTCTCATCGCCTAAGGAAGATATGGAAAAATAAGTATATATGAATATTTGGAGTATGTTTAAGTTAAACAAATAGCCTAGTAAGATAAAATGAGGATGACATAAAGTATGTCAAGACGTGAAAACATGCTAAATGAAGAAGGAAAAAAATTGTTTCTTAAAATGCACAGCTAATAATTTTATAATGCTATTAAAGAAAATTTATGGGTATGTAGGAATAGCCAAGTCCAAATTCATATGGAATCAAACAGAAGATGAATCTTACACACAAATTAAAAGAAACAGAAGATCAGTTTACACAGTATATAGGACATATGAGGCTTCTCATGCTGAAAAATCCATCAATTGTGATATGTCTCCAAAAAGGGATGTATAGATCATCAAAATTGAAAATGATTTAGCAATCTGAGCATAGCATTCTCTCTAAACTGCAGACATGTCAAGCACAGATTCCAAATCATTTCTCGGTGTTTAACTCACTCACCAGTTAACACCTCTTTGGCAAACCTACTTAAAATCCAATGCTCCCTCTAAAAACAAATATTCTGCTTGGACAACTGTACTAAATGTAATTGAAGAAAAAACCTGCATTTCTCTCTCTAACATGTATTCAACTTTTGATGGTTGGTTTGCAGGACACATAGACCGGGTCCACTTAAACATTCAGAGCAAATATTACAAATGATGAAAGAGGAAGGGAAAACTCAGAAAAATAGATAGGTAGGATCTTAATTCAAAGTTGAAACCATGAAATTGCAACGTATGATTAAGCCATGAAGAGTCAAAAGGAAGCAAATCTGACATAAACTTATATGTGCACATCTAAGTGTAAGTATTGTGATAAAAACTTACAAGTAAAGTGGGAACAGCTGCACAAACAAGGCCAGTGAATGCCACTGAAGTCTGCAGAAACAACAATCAAAATATCTTTTATGAACTACAAACAAATTTCATTCAATTTCATCTCATAACTCATTCCATTCAAACATAATAACTGTAAGAGGTTTTCATAAGCTTAAAACATGTGAGATCTTATTTTCACAAGCTCTCGCAAACACTTACCCATAAAAGATAAGTTAATGAAAATGTAGATTGCAAATTCACAAGTTTAAACAGAAGTAGGAACTAGTAATCAATCAGTGACTAGTCTGTTCGTAAAGATGCGGCTTACCGAGCAGGCGATGAATGCGAGGAGAAAGAAAGCTTGGTCAGTGAAGGTAAACTTGGGCACAAGAGAATTGAAGTTAGAAGCTTGGGGGTTTGTGACTTCAGTATGAAAGTTGCTGTTTTGAAGAAAAGATTCATCTGAAGGACTATTGTTGGATCCATTAGAGGAGGTGGAACAGCGTGGAATTAACGTGGGTATTTTGAATTTAGAGGAGATGAATAGAAAATGGCGTTGTTGTCTAGATGTGAGAACAAGGTTGAAATATTTACTTGTTGTACAAGTGTGTGTTAAGGCGCTTAATGAAGAAGCTAGGAGAGAATTCATCGTGAATTAGGTTAAGGCCAGAGTGTGCCGTGTTGTTCCGATTCAACGTTTTGCTTCGAGGTTTCCGCTCAGAATACGACTTACATATTTGACAAGTAAATGTCTCTCACTTTCTTTATTTCCCTATTTGCACTTTTTTTATATTTTTTTAATTTGTTCTATTTTTAGATTGATTGAACAAAATATTTCACTTAATAATCTAACGAATGGATTGTCTCTATGGATCGTAAGAATTTCACTTAAGGATCTAATGAATGAATCGTTTCTATGGGCGCGTTTGATCTTTAAGTGGGATTTTTGTCGTTCATAGAGGTGATATATTCGTTGAATCCTTAAGTGGAATTCTTGTTATCTATAGAGGTGATTCATTCGTTGAATCCTTAAGTGAGACACTTGTCTTCCATAGGGTCGGTCCATTCACTAGATCTTTAAGTGGGATCTTTGTTGTCCATAAAGGTGATTCATTCAGTGGATCTTTAAGTGAGATCTTTGTCGCCCATAGAGGCGGTCCATTCGCTGGATCCTTATCGCCTATAAAAGCGATCTATTCGTTGGATCTTTAAATGAGATTCTTGCCGCCTATGTAGGCAATCTATTTGTTGGATTCTTAAGTGAGATCCTCGATTTATTATTTATTTAAATATTATATAAAAATGACTCATTCTATTACATAATTTCGAATCAAATAGAAAATAATGGAAGATTGAATGGCATGGATTTCAGTATATTTCATTTCATTTTATACATTACTTATATATCTAAATGATAGAATCTCATTATTTACCATTTCATTCTATTACATTTCATCTCATACTATAAATCTAAAACTATCCTTAGATATTTTACATATTGAAGTTTGTAATATCACTCATCCCTTTCTCTTTTTGGTTGACACTTTTCTAGGTTTTATTATCCTCCTTATTAAGAAATTGGATTGAGTTGAAATTAAAAGAAATTGAAGTGTAGAGAAATTTTGAATTCGTGAATTGAATTACAAGTATTAATGTTAAGTCATTTAAGATATCTTAGAATATTTTTAAAAGAATAAAGTGGAGTGAAATGGAATAGACTGGAATGAAGCATTACAAAATAAAGATTTTATTATATTGTTTCAATATGTTTGATAAAATAAAACAACCTTATTATTCCGTCCAAATTTAAGCGTACATAAATCAGGGTAAGTGATGGAATGCATTTCATGATATTCTTCTTCGTTTAATCTTTTTTACTTATCCAAACAATGGAACATCAATGTATTCTATTCCAATTACATTTTATTTCATTAGTTCATATATACCCTTAAGAAATAATGGCTTAACTAACTCAATCATGCAACTTCCTAACTAACTCATAATAACCAAATAATTAGATCTATCTGTTGTACCCTAAAATTTGCCCTCTCATTTTTCAAGGTATTTTTTACAAGGATTTTCAAGGTTCAAGCTTGCACAAGTGCATTGAGATTTTTCAGTACCAAGATTAAAGGGAAACTGTCAAAAAGGGAGAAAACAGATAAAAATAACATTTTAATAAATTTGGAGAAAAATAGGCCTCCTTCGTTCAGCCCTTCGATTGGACAAGTGTGTTGCATGCATGTTTGCAATCGAAGACCATGACTTGCTGGCCACATGTGCCCCCTGCAAGGAAAACCTTTCGATTCACCAATCGTGCTGCCTACAAGCCTGCTTTGATTTGGACAAGTTTACTGCATACAAGCCTCCTTCGATTGCTCAAAATTAGTTGCCTGCAAGCCTGCTTCGATTTGGGCACATGTTGCTTGCAAGCCTGCTTCGATTGGGCATATGCTGCCTACAAGCCTGCTTCGATTGGGCATATGTTGTCTGCATGTTTGTTTCGTTTGGATAAGCTTCGATGGGACAAAGTAACCATCTATATGCATCCTTCGAATCCACTTGCACCAAGGGCCTCTTGTAGACTTTGCTTCATACAAGCTTCGTTTGAGCCAAGAGATATCTTCATACAATATTTGACTAAGTTCTTGCTTCCCTTGAAAGAGCGCCATTTGATTCAAAAACCAGGAACTTTCCTCATGCTAAACAGTCACAAGACAGGGACCCCTCACGTACGTTCTTTCTTTTGGCCACATATGACCATGGGAAGGCAAACCTTCGATTGGACAGAAGCAACCTACATATAAAGCTTTGATTGGAGCTTTGATTCCCTTCGAATCAGCTTCCTTTGAATCCAAGCTGAACCATTCGAAGTAGGTTTCATTTGAAGTATATCTGAGGAAATCTCATGACCAACTACATGACAGACTATGTTGCTTCCAAATCTTTATATAATCAGAGGCTTGTACAAAGGTTTTAAACTTTGTCTTTTGGATAATACTATTCTTGGTTAAAATGGCAAAAGGCTACATACCCTTTATTTTCATATGGAGTACTTTTATCACAAAAGCAACTTCCAACCTGAATTTTGTCTGAACGAAAAGCAGGGCCAGAAGCACAAGTCTAATCTCCAGCCAACGGGCCCCCCACTTGTACCTTTCTTTGTTTTCATATTTTATTGTTTTGCAAGGCTGGCTACTTCAAACATGTCCATTATTTTCTCTATAGATAGAGGAATATTTGCAAAGCTAAGAGAGAATCTTTGGACCAGAGGAATGAATCTCCCAAATTTTCTCAAACACAACAAAACTCTCAAGTCCTTAAACACTTGTAAATAACAAACCCAAAATCACATACTTACTTTCTTCGATTCTGAAGAACAAGCACTCTTCAGTATCCTTCGAATCCAGTTTGGAAAGAAACATAAGACTTATTTCTTTCCTTCCTTCAAATCCAGCACTCCAAGCACGGTTGTTGGCCTCCTCTTTTGAATCCAGCACCCTGGGCCTCCACTCAAGGTCATACACTCATTCAAGGCTGAAGCAAGGTAAGTCACTCTTACCCTTGAACCATTCATTTTATAGCATAGTATGTGAGTAACTTTCCCTTTCGTTTGAAACATGTACATAATACATTGTTCTTTTCGTTTCCACCCTCTTCATATATTTTCAAAACTAACCCTTTCGTTTGCTTTTTGTTTACCTGAACGTTCTTTAACTATTAAACTATTTACAAGACAAATACTAGCATGGCCTTAGGCCATGTTGCCATTTAATGCCTTAAAACGAAAGAAACAGGTGGAAGGAAACATGAAACAAAGCCTTGGGCTTCCTTGCTGACTTCCAAGGCAGAATCAAAAGGCACGCTTGCACTAAAGTCCAGCCAGAATCGAAAGTTATGACTTGTTGCTGCCAGCCTCAATCGAAGAATGCAACAAGGCAACAAGGCAGAACCAGAAGGCACGCCCAGCTACTGACAAGCCCAATCGAAGGCCATGACCTGACTGGTGCCAATGCCCAATCGAAGGCCACGACTTATTGGATTCTTACCTCAATCGAAGAAGGCCAACAGAAGAAAAATCGAAGGTTGCTTCTCCCCCAATCGAAAGAGCTCATTTTTTCTTCTTTTTATCTTATTTTTACCTTTATATTTTATGCACTTCAATATGGTTGTAATAGTGTAGGATATTTATTTTTTGCATTTTTATTGCTTTATACAAATGCTGATAAATAGGATGTATGACAAGATAAAATCAACAAGTAGGCAACCCCTAATCAAGACAAAATACATGTTGTTGCACCCCAAAATTTTCCCTCTCATATTTCTCAAAACATGGCAAGAAAAATCTCCAAGTGTCTCAAGATTGCTCAAGAGTTGGACAGTCAAGTTATCTCCTAAGGCAGTCAACCTCAAATTAGGGTTTTGTGTTGCATCAAGATCCTTGAGTCCAAATAACCTCAAGTTCTCCCCAATGTCCTAATATGTTATCAACTTTATCCATGTCAAATTTCAAGCCTTGCAGAGGAAGTTTGCTCAATCAATTGCTCAAAGGGTCCAAAAATCGATTGTGCTAGGGCAAAAGTCAACTGTGACCCAAATACAGTCAAACTTCAAGATTTTTTGTCAACATTCTCATTTTGAAGTTTATTTCATCATTTGATCAAGGGTTGATCATGATTCATCAAGGATTGCTAAAAATTCATCAATACTCAAAAGTTGCTAAATTAGGGTTTTGTAGGAAAAGTCAACTCAACTTTGACCAAGCATAACTTTCTCATACTTTATGAGAAATGACCCATCCAAAGCTCACTTTTAAGAGGATGCAATTTCCTACAATCCATCTTCATACCCCAAGATCAGAAAATTCACTCACAAGAAGTTAAAAATTTGGACATTATAGGTCATTTTTGAAAGTCAACAAAAACACCTTTTTTGCCAAAGCTTATAACTTGAGCATGGAATATCAAAATGAGATGAGACCAAAAGGGTTGGTTATAGGACATATCAAGATTTTCAAAAAGTCCAAGAACACTTCCAAAAGTTCAAAATTAAAGAAGTTATGCATTGTTGAAGTTGGGCATTTTTGCAAAATTGCTAAAAGTCAACTATCCCCAAAACTTCAAATTTTGTCAAATGGGCCCATTCTTTTCCACTTGATTTAGACTTGCCACATTACACACGTGTCCTAGCTTCAGCCTTGTGTCCATGTATCAATTTTTATATTTTATTTGATTTTTTATTGGATTATTTCATTTTAAATCAATTTAAATCAAATAAAATCCCAAAACTTGATTACATGAGATCTTTTTCTATTTTCAGGACCTAATCATCATCAATGTCATGATCAAACTCGTATCAAGCATTCCATGTGCAAAAAGATTGGATTTTTGGCAAATTAGGCAAGTTATCAATGGTGAATCAAATCCAATCTCAAGGCATCAATGTGCAAGGATTCAGTCCACAAAAGTTGACCTAATACACTCCATTATACATATACAAGGCAAAGGCACGAAATCCGGACCTAGAGACTGCAATAACACCAAGAACAAAACTTGAAAAAAAAGCAAAAAAGTGTGAAACTGAAATCATCCTTAGAGGCAAATTCAGGAGCAAAACTCAATACCAATCGCTTGCTGGAGGATCACTGAA